TGTGGCTTCAGACTGGATAAAAAGTCAATGTATGACAGCTTCTGGCAGAATATGACGCCCTTGACAGGCAACTGGTGAAACTCAGCGTTGCCTGAATAAAAGACACATTTCTCTGAGTTTGAACATTGTTAGAAACATTTGGCTTAATCTAAGTAAACAACTCAACTACATATAGAAGATATCTCTAGAGTTTATAGACATTTTAATGCAGACATGATACTGGCTTTGGCACAGGCCCCTTCCCTTAATCTCTCACATCATTTCCATGTTGTCCTCATTTTGGAGAACTTGGAAAAAAAAAAAAAAGATGTGTGATTGGTAGATTGTAATGGGTCTCTAATGTATATATCATTAGATACTGACAAAGAAATATAAACCACATGTGGCTTTGTTTAAGAGCAGATTGAATCAAAATGACATGTTATTGCCCTCTGCTGTTCTTTCTTTTTCTTAAGAGAATTGCAAGGTGTTCGAACAACTGATGCCGAGGGTGGTTGCTGAAAGTTTCCCAAACCAATCCCTACTCACTAGTCACCATGGACACCTTGCTGGGGTAGCTAATAAGTTTCCATATATTGTGTTTGACCCATCCCCCATGGAGACACTATATGCATGCATTGTACCTTCCTTATAAAAATGATCAGAATGACCAAAAAGCATAGCTTAATCTACTGATATAACATATTCATACTCATGTAATTTTCATAGTTTGTAAGTTCTATTTAGCGCTAAGGTCAAATGGATAGAAAAGCTGTTTGTAAAAACTGTAAATGTAACATGCACAAAATGATTGGCATGTACTGTGAAACTGAAACTAATGTTTCTTTCATTGATTGTTGCACCAAGTTAAGTAAATCTATCTAAACACAAAGCGACGTTTTTTATTTTTTTATTCTGAACTGGTTCAGTTAATATGCTGAACTCTTCACACAAACGTGCAATGGAGGCCAAGTAGATACAAGATTCAACAATAAGGACCGTGCTGAGCCATCTCACTTCCTTCTTATCTCTGTTGAGAGTTGCACATGCTCACCGATTGGGCACCTGTGAGAAAATGTTGCTGGGTAAAGACAAAGTTTGTGAGCTAAAAAACAAGCGAGCATTCCAATAATCCAGGCAACAGGAGTTTAGCTGGGTGGTGTTAGGATAAAGGATGAAGGCAAAACAAAGGGAGAGTTATTTAATTAAGATAAATCACACTGATGTTCTGGACATGCAAATTGTTTTCCCTGAGGGCAGAAATAAACTTTATTCAAATCACAAATGAAAATCAGTACCATATGTCAGTTTAAAACCATCAGCAAATGGTGTAAAACATATTTTATAAGGTATGTGACTGCAGGGGTCAACAAAGCTCAACACTTATCAACTGTCTCCTCACTCAAGCAAACTACAGAAGAAAAACAAGAGAACATGGTGCTGATAAGCCATACATGTACTGTAAGCTTAACTGACACTATCTCTGGGAGAACAGTGCGTGATGTTTGGATGGTTGGAGGAAAAATAAGCAGTGCTTGTTGTTTCTGGGCAGTGAGAGAACGCATTATCTGCTGTAGCATCAAATAGAGCACTATCAACCTCTAACTTAACACTTTGGCTCTCAGTCCATGTCAGTCAAGTAAAACTTTAGATAAATATACCTGCAGAAAAATAATTTCCTACACATTTGACGTTTAGATGTACAAATTAGGGATGAACCATATGGATTCTCTTTTTCAGCTGATACAATAACCGATAATTACCTGCTTCTCGTGGTCGATACCGATAAGGTAACAGATGATTTCACATTTATGTGTTTTCAAAAGAAGTTGATAACATGTAGTTTATGCACACTTGAGGGTAAGAAAAGCTTAGATGTAGTGAACTGTGGACAGCCGCCCAGGGTTCAAATCCAACCTGCGGCTCTTTGATGCCTGTCATCCCCTCTCTCTGCACCCTTTTCCTGTCTATCTTCAGCTGTTACTATCAATTAAAGGCAAAATACTTAAAAATAATAAATTTAACTGTTCTTAACACAACAACAAACAAAAGTTCTAACTCTTCAAATGCTTTATTTTTCCTAGTACTAACCCTAACCCTAAGTACATCCAAAAACCAACCGTTTTCTTCAAAGAATTCAAAGTAAATCAATAGGGACCGAGCCAGCGACCGCTGGAGGTCCCTATTGTTTTTGCTCGATTTCTTCTTCTTACTTATTATTATTATTTTTAGCCCC